TTTGCCATTAAAAATCAACTTGTCTGATCTCGTGCACGGGTGGGAGAAGATGCACTGATTAAAACCATGATGAATCTGCGGAGTCTCAAACACCAGCAAGGGAAATAAGAAGTGGGAGAAGGGCCTGGGATGTGTTTGCTGCCAATGGACACGGTGAGCACCACAGGAGAGCACGTGGATGAGGGCACGGGAGCCTCGCTGGGAGCAAGAGGAGAGGGAGATGTTCTCCTCACCCAAGAGACCTCTGGCAGGGCCAGATGAGCAGAGCCCTCCTCCCAGGCCTCTCACCACCCATCTTTTCTCTTTATCTTAGCACCATCTAGAGGGATGTGCCTGCACACCACAGTGACATTTGGCAGAGGAGAACACCCAAGGGCCTCGTGTGGGGGCAGGGGGAGCCAAATCCTCAGCAGCAAAGCCTCAGTAGAGCAGTTCACTCCTCCAACCACCTTCACTCTTTGCTTCAGCACAATCATTCCCTTGTCCTGGGGAGCTCATCTGAGAACTGGAAGGATTGTTCCTCCAGGGAGGGTTGGAGGTTGAGAGGTTCAGGAGGGAGGTTTGGAGGGTGTTGCTCAGGGATTGGGGGTTTTCTCTTGATTATTCTTTTTATCACCTGCAGATCTTGCATCACAAGCTCCTGCAGGCTTCAATGGAGGCCACATCCCGAGTGCTGTGTCCAGTTCTGGGCTCCTCAAGAGAGACATGGAGCTCCTGGAGTGGGTCCAGCAGAGGCTACAAAGATGCTGAAGGGATGGAGCATCTCCCTGATCAGGAAAGGCTGAGGGAGCTGGGACTGTTCATCCTCCAGAGGAGATACTGAGAGGGGACCTCCTCATCTGTCAGTGACTGCAGGGAGGGGGCAGGCGTGGACCAGGCAATTCCTGCCCTCCATCAGCCACATCTCTGGCCAATCTCACACAATCCCAAGGTAAGGCCATGGAAACCAAAGTCCAACCTGCCTGGATCAGCAAGTGCTAGGTTTGGAGATTGGAAACACGTTGCCCTGGTCAAAGGGCAAAGCAGGAGCTTTCAGAGCTCACCTGGCTGAGATTAAGGAGCACAGACAAGCAGCAGACAGCAGCAAGGTCTGGCAAAGGATGTACAAAACATGCATTGCCTCAGTAACTGGCTGCACTGAGGACTAAAATCCATCACTGTTCTGAAAGTGGGATCCCAAAGGATCATGGAGAAAGCAAAGCCTCTTGCCTGCATCTTGTCTGCTGTGGATGTCACCCTCTCCTCCCCCCTCATGCAGTGGGACATGGTATAAAAAGGTGCAAAGATCTGGATGGGGGATGGAAGGATAGTGTAGGGTACCCTTGCCCACGGCAAGAAACATCCTATTCTTCTCCCCTGCCTTGCCCAAGCACGGTGCCCACTGCAGCGATCCCATCCAGCTCAAACCCAGGTCCTCCAGCAGCCACAAGGCACCACCAGCAGCTCCTCCAGCCACGGCCAGGCCGCTTTCCTTTCCCTTTCCTTTCCCTTTCCTCTCCTCTCCACCACGGGCGGCTCAAACCTCGGAGCCAACACTCCGAGCGCTTTCTCCTTTGCGGGAGGGGCAGGGATCGCATTCCCGGGCAGCGATCCCGGGGGCAGCGCCAGGCTGAGCCACCGCCCCGCGCGTGACCGGGAGCCCCGGGAGCAGCATCCCCGTGGGAAAGAGGGAGGGAAGGAGGGAGGGAGCGAGCCGGGCTGGTGAGTCAACACTGCAGAGCTGCTGCGAGAGGAGCGGGAGGCAGAGCCAGGCCGGCTGGGAAGGACGGATCTAGCTGAGCCCCGCGACAAAATGGTTTGAGTAATAATCGACGGTAAGGAAACCTCTGGTTTTGAGGCGAGGCAGCCCAGAGGGATTCCCCCCAGGGCAAACGCTCCGCGTGTTTTGCGGCTTTGGCTTGTGGAGGGGAGAAAGGCTGGAGTAGCTGGAAACACAATCAGGCCCCAGACACAGAGACAACTCCCTTTTATTTAGCCTGTTAAACCCAGTCCCTGCATTCCCTCTGCTGCTTTCGGCCATAACCTGCCGTGGGTCCCGCAAGCACCGCCACGATCCCCTTCTGGGTGGACCCGCAGCTCGGCAAGAGGGTTTGCTGGGGAGGGGGTGTTTTGGGGTTGTTCCAGGTTCCTGCAGTGAGCAGGAGTCTCCCCTTTCCCCCCAGCCTGCCGCTATGTGGCCAGGAAGATGAGGACCCTGTGGAGCCGGGAGCCCCGGGAGCCACCGCCCCGCCCGGCACAGGCTGAGCCCCGCGGCCACCAGCAGAGTGAGTCCGGACCCCGAGGGGACAGCCACATCCACGCACCCGGGATGGAGGGGCCAGGGCTCCCCTGGGCTCCCCGGGCACCCCCACACCTCCCTGCCCCTCCCTCCCTGTGCTCCGGTGACCACAGTGTTCCTCAGAGCCAGGCGCTTTGGCTGAGGAAGAGCAGGAACAGGTCGAAGCTACAGAAGTTCCTTTTCTTCCCTGCTTTATCTTTCCTCGCTGGGTTTTGTTAAATTTGGTTCCATGCCAGCCCCTGGCAGAGGGGATGAGCAAATAGCAGCCTCTGGAAGGAGGGGCAAACGTGCTCTGGGGGGTTCCAGAGGGGCAAGAGGATGGCACCTGCTCCTCCAGGACCACATGTCCCTGCGGTAATCTTTGTCATTTCACGCTGCTAAATACCAAAATACACCTCCATACCCCCAGCAGGCAGTGAGAGATCCCTGGCCTTGCTTCCCAACCTTCCCCAGCCCCTTCCTGGCTCGTTTAAACCCCACCATTCATGATGACTTTGCAGATCACTCAAATCCCTGCAAAACCCCCAGAGCAGCTGGTCCCAGTTTGGCACAGTGGGTACAGCCAGGGCCATCCTGGCCCCTCACCCATCCCAGACAAGGCAAGGAAGGTTCACCCAGAGCTGCTCCTACATCGCCTTGCTCAGGTGTTAAACCTCACTGTCAGAGTGAACTCAGCTTTGAGCAGCAGGCAGAGGAACCTCAGCACAGGAGAGATCTGCCCCGAAAATACCAGTTGTACTGGTTTGGCTGAGTCACTCCTGCTTGCTCCTGTGCAAACATGCCCAGAGCTGCACCCAAGCAGGAGCACATTCCCAGGTAGGAGCACATTCCCAGGCAGCTGCCACATCGCTCAGCTCATGCCTGGGATCTCCTGCCTCTGCCAGGAGCTGTCACTGGAGACTCCAGGGAAGATGTAGGGCTGTGCCATTCCCTTCCTTCTGCTCCCATGTGCTGTGGGGGCACAGGAATGCAAACTGTGTGCCCTGGGGGTCCTATAAAATCTCCAGAATATCAGCTGTTCCCTAAAATAGCAGCTAGATCTTTAATGGGGAAGGGAAAGGGAGTGTCTCCCTTCACTAATGCCTTAATTAAGTGCATATGAAGGGGAAAAAAAAGGGTGTTTGTTAATCATCCTGCAGTGGGAGTCAGGGTTTAGCAGAGGCTCCAGCTGGGAAGATCAGGGCAGGCCCTTGGGTGCAGGTTGGGCACAGCAGCCCCTCAGATCTGTGGATGCAGGAGCTGTGCTGGTGCAATGGGGGGCTGCACATCCCTCTATCCCACAGCATTCCCCAGCCAGGAGCTCTGTGGTGCCCCAGGGAGAGCTGGCCCAGCACAGGGTGCCAGGAGCAGGTGGCTCAGCAGAGGAGTGATCTGGCTGGGAAATGTGGATGATCCAGAGGCCCTGGAAGCTGTGGCTCTTGATCCCCTCCTTGCAGCAAGGTGGGCTCCCCATGTCACAAACCTGGCCTGAGTCCTCACTCCTAATGCTGTTTATGGTTCCCAGCAGGAGGTTTTTGGAGGAACCTTCCCTGTTCACACCCAGCCTCCTCCCTTCAAATCCCTTCAAGTCCCTTCCCTTTCCCCTTGGCTAATCCCAAATCCCCCTCTTTTCTCCTATTCTTATGCATTTACAGGTGTAAAAGCAGAGGTATCAGCACCTCCTGAAGCAACAACCTCCCTTCCCAGGAACATCAAACCCATCCAGTGCAGGTCCTGACAGTAAAAAGCCCTCAAGGTCCTCCCATGAAGGCCACAAGATTTCTTCCCACTGATTTCTCCAGGGAATCCATTTGCTGGTTATCTTGCAGCCCAGGGATTGGAAAATATCAGCTAATCCCTCCTGTATCTGCTTTCAACACAGAAGCACAAGGATAGAAAACACCTTAATTGGTCTCCTGTTACCAGAATTTTCTAGTTGGCACAAAAAAAAAAAAAAAAAAAAAAAAAAGATTCCCAATGTGTATCAGATGCTCCTGGCACTGCTGGGCCATGGAATACCAGGGGAAGAGCTCGAGCCATTGCATCCCAGCAGTGAATTGGATTTTTATCCTGTGAAACCAAACTGTTCTCCCTATGACATTGGCATGAGATTCAGACAGTTTCCATGAAGGTCAAGTCAGTCCCTGAGCTGGAGTGAGGAGTCTGGGAGCTCAGGGCTGTGGAAATCCCACGATGTTTTTGTACAACCCCTTTCCCCATGCCCAGCCTGAACGGGCAAACCAGCACCCCCAGAGCAGGGGCTGCAGGACCACAGCTGGACCCCCCACGCCCAAAACCCTGCAGGGTCACAGAGCAATGACAGCAGAATCACAAACCCCACACACGTGGGGAAGACTCTGCCCGACCCCCTCCTGTGACAGCTGAACCAGAAGTAAAGTTGGATCAAAGGCAGTGCTTGGAGAGTGGTGGGTTTTGTCCTGGAACGGGTTTGCTGTCGTTGTGGTGCTGGGACTCACCACTGCTTGTGGTAGAAATAATAAGAGAGGGAGCAGAGTCATCCTGCACCTCTGGGAAGAGCTGAGTGAAAGCTCCCAAAGCTCCAGGGCTCAGCCTCGTGCTGCCCTGAGCGATGGTTTGGCCTCTGCTGACCATTTACTGACCAAATTAGTGACCTTCATTTTAAAACCCTCCTGGCTTAGTGTGGGCCAGGCTGGGCTTTGGGAAGGTGGGAGAGGCACAAACCCTGCCCTGGGGCTTGTGAGGCTCTGCAGGGGATGGGGGGAAGGAGGGAGGACAGGCTGGAAAATACAGACCTTGGGCTCTTTATTCTGACATTGCCACTCCCTGGGACAGCTGTCACCACCAGACTGGGGTTGGGTGGTCACACCAGCACAAGCAGCCACCTGAATGTCTTAGAAAGGTTGGAAAGAGCTGAGCTTAAGGTCCCTTCCAGCCCAAACCATTCAGTGTTTCTATGAGATGTGACTCTTGGGGATGGGCCTGTGCAGGGCCAGGAGTTGGACTCGATGATATTTGTGGGTCCCTTCCAACTCTGTGAGTCCATGCCCATCACCTCCCTGCCAGGGGAGGCAGCAGAAGCAGCAGGTCCTGAGCACCATCCCCACCTTGTTCCCAAGTGGGAAGTGTGCTGAGTCATCAGCTGAGGCATTGCCCGTGTTTGTCACAGGGCAGAGCTCTCTGTCACCGACAGCTGCGTGACACAAACACAACCCAGAGCAAGTATCACATTTCCAGCACCGCCAGGCAGCGTTTCCCTGTCTTCCTGCTGCTGAAAACTCCCACGTGCTTCACTCCAAAGGCGTGGGACTGGCACCTGGGGCTGTTCCCTGTGGCTCTCTGAGCCTCCCCCAGGTAAGAGCAGTGAGAAATGTCCCACAGGAGCTCCAGCCTGTCCCTGGATTGCTTCTGATCCCCTGGGGCAGCTCCTTCTCAGTGAGCCAGGGGCAGGCAGGTCTCCAAGGCAAGCAGCTTTCTGGGAGTGTCTTGCATGTTTTATTGGAGTCCACGTGTTCATCTGGGTAAATCCAGGACGAGGGATCACAGCCCTCTCTTCTGCCCCACTGGTGTGGAAGGGACAGCTTTTATTTTGGTCGTTTTCCAGCCCCCTCAGGGGGTCACCTGCCTGGGAACCAGCTCTGGTGTGAGTCGAGCACGGTGGTCTGGATGAACTGGCAGAGACAGGGCAGGGGGCTGTGCTCCAGGTGCCCCCCTGCCACGGCCCCAGGGAGCTGCCCAGTGACCAGGAGCCGGACGTAGCACCCGCTGAAGATCACCAGGAGCTGCTGGGCCATCACCTGGAACGAGCAGAGGGGTGTCAGAGCAGGGCATCAGGGCAGAGAGAGTGGTGTTAAACACCCTCCTTCAAGGACTGTCCTACTCTGAGAGGAGCAGGACAGCAGCCAATGGCACATATAACTGTCCCAGATCTCCTTCTGGTCAGCACTGTCCCCACAGGGGAGGGACACAGAATGACCCGTGGGTAGCCTGGGGACCTGCCCACTCCATCACTGCCTCCTCTGGCTATTTTATTTTTTGCCTGTGGACAGCCAGAGAGCCTCAATCTGCAGGGATGGCACCTGCACAGAATTCACACAGTAACAGCGAGAGGAAAACTGGAAAACAAATCAAAATCATCCCTTTTGAAGCTCCTTGCTGAGCAGGAATGAGGACACATTTGTTGCTCAGCATGGCACAAGTCTTTGAAGGCACTTTCCATGGAGGGAACAAAGGCTGGGCACGTTCATAACTCATCCCCAGCCTAGGCAGGGGCACCACGTCCCTGCACAGACCCTGGGGAGAGTTTGTCTTCCAAACTGAGACCCCTGGGCACCAGCAAGGAAAAGCCCAAGCCATGAATTCCTCAAGGATTAAGCACTGGCTGGTCAGTAAGATTTAACTGCTCAGCAGCAGCAGGGCTGGAGAAGATGTGTGTGGAATTCCAGGTGCTTCTGGTGGTGAAAAAGGAGGTGTCTCCCATGGCTGGCAGGTGCTGGGATGAGTTTTGGAGTTGAGCTGCCTGGGAGGTGATATTTCTCCTTACCTCTGGTGGGCCCTCAGGGACAAGGCAGAGCAGCTCATTGCATGTCACAGGCTTTTTATTGAGGTTCTCCCCACTGGATAAAAGAGGGGACTCTTCACATGGAGCCTCCTCATCCTCTGTTCCCAGGTCGGGCTGAACTGCTGCCTCCATGACCACACAGAGCTTGTCCAGCCTGTGCCTCAATCCTGCCTGGAAGAGAAAGATTTTGGGTTCTCCAAAAGCAGTGGCACCCTGAGAACAGCCTTTAAAGGGCTTAAACAATTTCCTTCTGACTCTTTAAATCTGAGTTTGTTAAACTCTGAGTCTTTAGAACCTGAGTTTTTAAAATCTAAGTCTATAAAATCCCCTGTGTGTGGGTTGGGGATTCACTCTCCATCCCCCAAGCTGTTGGTTCAGCAGGGAGATAGATGAGCAACCTGGAGATTTTTGGGAGGGTTGTACCCCTTCACCTCTCATCCCACAGCCAGCAAGGGCAGTTCAGGGGATATTTGTACACCCACAGAGAGACAAACATTTCTTTGAAGGCCGAGAGGAGATGATTTTTATCCAATTATCCCAACACAGCATTTCCTCCTCCCTCAGGCCACCCCGTTTATTCCAGGAGGGCAGCTCAAGGTGTCAGCTCTTTCAAGCTGGGACACATGCTCCCAAAATTTGCCTTCCTTTGATTCCTGATGACTTTCCCTCATGAAAGCTGTGCAGTTAATTACCTAGACATGCACAGACCAAACAGACAAATCGAAACAAGTTCCTGCTGAACTGGGCACCAGCAGGTGCAGCTGATCCACCTCCCAGTCTGCCCAGTTCCCAGCAGGGACAGCTCAGGAGGACACTCAAACACTCAGCTGTCCTTGCTGTGATGGACTGAACTGTTGTTAATCTCTTAAATATCGTCAAAATCGTCACAGAGTGATGACAAATTTTCTATTTTAATCTCTATTTGTCACTCTCTTTCTTCCCCCCTCCTTTCCCTATTTCATTCTCTCTTTCTCTGCCTCGCATTTACTGTTAAATAACTGTAAATTACACATTTACTGTTAAATTGTTGTTACTGTTTTAATTATCAATTGGTACTGTTATTAATTGGCTATTATTTAATTAATAGTAATTGGTCATTATTCATTATTCATTATTAATTCTATTTATTTGATTATTCTTTATTAGTGATTATTATTAATTATTTAATATTTAATTATTAATTAACAAGTATTTAACCATTAATTGGTACTGTTAAATTATTAACTGTCAAATCACTCACACTCACTGTTCAATAAAATCCAGACTCTTGCCTTTGCCAGTCGATCTCATTCACACCTCAGTTTGGGAAGAGGCCTTTCTAATAATTCTAATAACCCCATCAAAACACTTGCCCACCCCCATCCCACCCCACCTGGGCCCCAGGGCTGGACCTGCAGGTGTCCCCAATCTGTGCCCACCCCCCTTACCTGTCCCATCCTCTGCAGCTGAGTGAGGTGGGAGGACAAAGCCCGCAGGCAGCGCTCGGGGCTGAAGTGCAGGAACCACAGCTGGAACGGGCAGGTTAAGGAGGGAACATTCCCACATCCCCCCTGCTCCATGGGGATGGGAGGACAGGTTCTCCCAGGGAGCAGAGCCTGTGGGATGCTCAGAATGCAGCCAGGACCCAAATAAGGCATCACAGGGCTCGTTTTATGCCATGAGGGTCTGGTGCCATTTAGAGCTGATTTTAAGCTGTGTCTGAGCCAAGACAAAACTTCAAGCTACTGGGGACAACAAGAGGGGTGGCAGAGAAAGGGGACATGACCCCAGTCCTCCTCCCTCCCCTCCTGCAGCCTGGGCTGGGGGAACAACAGGGATAACCCAGGGTCACTGCCCATCACTCACCTCAGTGGCCTTATATCTAAATAAACTGGTGGGGCACAGTCCTTTAGCTCCCCTAAACCCTAACCCCCCCTCCTGCTTTCTTGGCTTTGTTTCTATTTCTATATCCTAAATGTATTTTATATTTTTATTACTTACATTGTATTTATATTATCTATATTCCATTTATATTTGTATTTACATGCAAACTGTTGATAATATTTCCCCTTTATTTGTTACAAATTCTACCACACTTGGTGTTTGTCTGCAGGACAGAGACATTGCTGTGAAAAGTCTTCCAAGAGCAACGTGATGGGGATGCAAGTCCTGCCAGCTCTGAGGCAGCCAAAGGTCTGCCCTTGGACATCTCCTCAACCTGCCACCATCAAGGGGATCCAGGAACAGCAAAAAAGCCAGAGGGTTAAAATAGATCTGACATTGAGCAGGCAGAGAAATTGTAAATTATTTGCTGCTCTCAGACAGTTCTGGGACACGAAAAGGTGAAGGCTCCTTGGATTAATCCTCGCTTACTGAGGTGTAGAGCTTGGCTGGTGTGAATAAATGTGGGATTCAGGTTTGTAATTGTTGTAATTCAGGTTTGTAATTGTCCTCCTCCTGCAGGACTTTGTACCTGCCAGTCCTCCTGTGGAATTCCCTGCTCCTTTCCCTGCCCCCTGTGCTCCCCCTGGGTTCCCTCTCCATTTGTATCTCTCACCTCTTTGTACCTCTCTCCCTCACCTTCCTTTTGCACCTTAATGGGATCTTAAAACTCTCTTGATTCCCCTAAATCTTTGCCTAGTCCAGAAAAAGTATCTCTGAGAAGCAGCAAATGAGCCCAGGGATGGGGACTCTGATTTTTTTCCACGCTGGATTTTTGGGGGGACACTCTGCTTTTCTCTGTATTGGTTCTTTTGGGGTTTTATTTTTGCCATAGGCACATTGCTGTCACTCTGCTGACAGTGAGAATCATCTTCCAGGAATAATTGTCTGCCCTAAGGAATCTCATTTCAATCCTTCAGACTCATTATTTCCAATTCACTTCGGGCATATCTCAATCACCACTTACAGGAGAAATAAAAATACCCAGTTCCTCAGGCTATGCAATAAAAAAAAAAACCATCCTAGAAATCCCACCCTCTGGATCATAACACCACTAAATACCCCCACGTCATCCCAGGGGGGATATGAACAATCCCCTACACAAAGGATACTTGCAGGACGTTGTGTGGCCCCTCCAGGACATCTGTAATCCCCAGAATTAAACTGTGCTTGATGAAGATTTCATTGACAGCTGCCAGCCTCACATCTGTGTTCACGTTTATCTGTGAGAGAATGCAAGGAAAATTACCACCCTCTACAGCAAAAGTTGGGCCAGCTACAAACTGCAGCTGGATGATCCCAAATACTGGGCTTCTGACAGGAAAACAGTGACATGAGCAGAGTGTGGGCAGGGCAGGGTGTCACCAGCCATCAGTACTGGCCTCTTCACCATCAGCAGACAGAAAGCCCACTAAGGTTTATTTCTCTCATAGGCAAAATCTCTGAAGCTGAATTGACTTCAGTGTCACGTTCTCCCTTCCACCCCCAGCAGTCCCTGAGGGAAGGACTCCTTTCCTGAACCTCTGTGCACCCCCACATTTGCCAGGTTTCCTCTTGGAGGAATCATTTGCTCCAAAATCCATTTTAAAAGCCCACTCAGAATCAAGCCTTTCCAACATTATTCTTCAAACAACTCCATAGACATTTCCACTCTCCTGTGACTCCTCCCCCAAGCAAATAAACAATGCCATGAATTGCAGAGGCAGCAGAGACTGCCAGGACTGGCATCAGAAGCAGGACAAGGAGCTGGAGCTGCTGGAGAGCCCCTGTGCCTTCCCCACCAGCTGTGGGAGCACAAACTGTGCTTTGCCAGGGTTTGTCTCCAGGGTGACCTTGTTGCAGCCTCTCAGTACCTGAAGGGGCTCCAGGAGAGCTGGAGAGGGAATTGCACAAAGGCCTGGAGTGGCAGGACAAGGGGGAAAGGCTGCACACAGGGAGGGCAGGGTTAGATGGGATACTGGGAAGGAATTCTCCCCTGTGAGGGTGGGCAGGCCCTGGCACAGGTTGCCCAGAGAAGCTGTGGCTGCCCCATCCCTGCAAGTGTCCAAGGCCAGGTTGGACAGGGCTTGGAGCACCCTGGGCTAGTGGATGGTGTCCCTGGAAGGAGATGGGTCTATAAGGTCCCTTCCCACCCAAACCATCCTGTGACCTCCAGCCACAGCAGGAGATTGGAACCAGCCTGACCAGCTCCAACATTTCAGCCACTACAACCCCTCCCTTGGCTGTCCAACATCCCTTGCCTCAACCTCCTCCCTGAATGCTGCAAAAATATTCCTTCCTCCCTGGATAACAATATTCTTAGTGTGCATCTTGGGAAGAACTCCCATCAGGAGTCCTGCTCCTCTTGTCCCCACATTCCCACGCACAGAGAGCCCCCTCTCACCTTCCTGTGGCGCCGATCAATGACCAGGATGACCAGCACAGTGACTGCCACAGCAGCCAAGGTCACCAGCACACTGGACACCCAGTAGCGCCCAAAGGAACACAGCTGGAGTGTGGAGTAAAGGTTTGTCCAGAGAGACACGTAGAAAACCTGGAAAAAAATTAATTAACTAGAGACTGGGGATAGTCACAAACCCATGAAAGTGAGAAAAGTCACGGGAAGAAGAAAACCAACAGTCCCTGTCCCTTCTCTCTCGTCATAAATTAAGTCACACGAGATTTTCAGAGGGTGAGAAAGGACAGAAGTGCTTCCCAATAACAAATAAGGGAAAGAAAGGACGGGAAGGACTGAGCGAGCTCTAGTTTATTATAAAAAAAAATCACCAGTCACCAAAGACAGAGAGTGAATTATTAATGATGATTCATACCCAGGAAGGATTTCAACTGAGTTCCTCCATTTAGAGCAGAAATGCACTCACTGAGGCATACTGGTAATAATTCTAATAGTCCTGTATTTAGAAAGGTCCTGTGTCAAGGTGGTGCAGGGTCCACTTAATTACAATAGTGTTCAAATAGTGGACACAGAAATGGGATCAAGGACTATGTTAAGGGCTGACAAACTTGGCCTCTCCATAAAAATGGGAAAAACTGAATTTCTTTACTTCAGACAGCAAGTATTTGGGCAGGAGATGGCCTAGAAGCAAGTATGATGTGTACACAGCATGTCACAGCATCACCTTGTAATAACTTAATTTATTTGTGCTAAACTTAAGAGTTGTTTGTCTTCTTCTGGTGAGAGAGGCTCCTCCAGAGACCCCACCATCTGCTGTGGGGCTGGTACTTTGTTTGCAGGGTGCTGAGGGTTTGATCAAATCCAACTCCTTGTTTTAGTTCCCGTTTTTTTTTTTTTTTTGGATAGCCATACCTGTCTTTTCCTCCTTTCACTAATAGCAGGGGAATTGGGGCTCAGTGTTTCGAGGGGTTTGGTGCCAAAGGAACCCACTAGGATGGGTGAAAACCACTATTTCCATCCCACCCCACCCCTCCCTGGGCACAAAGGAAACCAGGGGTAGGTGTTGGTGCCCCTCAGGCAGTGCCTGGAGATCCCCCCTGTCCTCACCACGGCGATGGCAATCTGGAACGCCCTGGAGTTGTAGAACATGTACCTCCTCACTTCAGGCTTCAGGACACCATCCTGGATCAGGTTTTTCCACTGATCCACTGGCACCTGCTCAGGGAGCAAACACAGAGCTAGAGCCACCCTCCAGTTTGGGCTCCCAGTCCTCACCAGACCCAGCCTGGCTCTGCAAAACCCACACCTGTGTCCCCTCCCACAGAGAGCACCTCCAGTCCCATCCACGCAGCTGTCACTCACTAAAATCTTGTGTTCTTGCCTCATTTGCAGTGAGGAATACCTGCCTGGAATATCTGCCTGGAAAGGGCAGGGAAAGGCACAGGAAGAAAAAAGCCTTTTTATAAGGAAGGACAAGATGTAACAGATTGTCCTTGGGATGCTCCACCCCATCAGAGTGACTTCCAAGCAAAATTCACTCCAATCCACGTTCAAAAGAGTTTCCTCGTGGATGTTTAATCCAAGATCACCCCAGCTGACTTGCAACTGAAGTTGAACTGAAACAAGCACCCCTCAAACCAAAAAAAAAAAAAAAACCAAAGTGATGTGGCTGTCAATGCAAATTACACCAATCCAGCTGGGATTAACTCTCACAGCTCACCTGGACCCCGAGGGCCTTCAGCTTCTCTGCACAAAGCTCCACGTCGAAGCAGGAGGTGGAGCAGGTGTTGTCCATGCTGAGCACCAGGAGCACCAGGTCTTTGAGGGGTTCTGCAAGAGCCCGAGGGATCCGTGAGCACCCCATGGCAGGGGGGTTGCTTCTCCCAGCAGCCAAGGAGCACATGGCAAAGGGAAGGCTGAGGAACTAAGACCACCCTGACGTGCTGAAAAAGGATTCCAGAATACCCCTTGGACGTTTCTAAGGAGCTCTGGAAGCAGCCTGAGGTCAGGAGGCTCATTCCAGGAGTGAGCAGAGATAACAGATAACACAGTGCTCTGATCGTCAGCCAGATAATGTCTTGCCTCACCAATCCCTGACTGAAAGGACAATGGCCCCAGGCTGCTGGGTGTTGCTAAGGCTGATCTACCTCTCAGAGATGCTCCCGTGGCCTGCCCTGCCCTGCCCACCCCACCCACCACAAGCAACAGCTTGAGCAATCAAACTAAAGTGCTTTCCAGTAATCACCTCCCCTGGGATGTGGCAGGGCCGCCCTGGAACCTCCCCCACAGATCCTCCCATGCCCAATTCCCCACTCTAGCAGCGCTCCTGGGATCAGCTCAAGGCTCTCAGCTTCCCAGTGTCACCTCAGAGGTGCAAGCAAATACCCAAGTCGCAGTCAGGAGCCTAAAAAATGTGAGGACAGCCTGTCCTAGATTTGAGGAGCAGCCTTGGAGCGGCACAGGAGAGCTGTGATCTCCAGGCATCCCATCTGGCATCCACCTAGAGCTTACACAAGCTGTGCTACGTCAGGAGGAAGAGTTCAGGTCTAAGGAAGTGGCTTGTTCAGCTCAGATCCTGTTTCACTGAGATGTTTCCCCCAGCTTTCCTTCCCCTTTTCAGCTCCAAGGTCAGCCAGGTCTCCCCTGGGCTGCTCCTGCTGACACTTTGTGCTCTCCCAGGCTGTTGGGCTGATGGAACACCAAATGCTCACCTTTCCCTTCTCCCCCATTTCTATCCTCCATCCTCATCATCTCCTCACTGCTCAGGAACAGGAGATGCCACGTGGAACAAGGCAATTACAGCAGGGTGTGACTGCACTGAGCCAAAAAGGGAAGAGCAGGAGCATCTGAAATCTCCAGGCTCACAAGGTGCTGTTTGTCTGCTGAGGTGTATCACCCCAAAGCTTCTCTTCTCCAGGCTGAACAATCCCAGCTCTCCCAGCCTTTCCTCCCAGCAGAGCTGCTCCAGCCCTCTGATCCTCTTGGTGCCTCCTCTGGACTCTCTCCAGCAGCTCCCTGTCCTTGTTGTGCTGTTCCCCAGGGCTGGGGCAGCTCTGCAGGGGGGTCTCACCTGAGGGGGCAGAGGGGCAGAATCCCCCCTGCCCTGCTGCCCACACTACAGGTCAAGTTTCCCAACTATTTCTTGACTTTGAAGGCCAAGAGAAGAGAAATTCCAGTGTCCTGGTTTTTAATAAGTGGGCATCCCTTTAATCCTATATATCAGGCTTTCTAAGAGTCTATCCACCCCCTTCCCAAAATGCTGAAACATCCACATTGTTTAGCTACTTTGGCAAATGAGATGCTCTTAAAGAGCATCTTTGAAAAAGTTTGTGGTTATTTTAAGGGCCCTGTGCTCAGATCTGCCTCCCTCCTTATCAACAAGCCACTCACCTGTCACCCACTGCAGGGATTCTTCTCTTAAATCACTCTTACAGTAGAGGAGGGAGGACCCATTTTTCTCAGTCCCACCAATTTGGTTTTTCTGGGCCATGCTGGAGGTGCCTCCCCCTGAGGGATTCTGTGCTGTGTTGTGAGAAATTCAGCATTTGTCTCTCTCGCTGCCGAGAAGCACCAGCTCAGCCCCTCGGCAGCCGGCTGGGGAGCAGGCTGTGAAACCCTCACTCACACTCCCACTGCTGCCTTCCTCGAGATCCTGCTTCCCACGAGCCAGGAGGCATTTTTGTGTTTTTTTAGCCCTGAAAAGAGAAAAAGAAAATCCTAAATCTTGCAGAAACAGCAAATAAGGGATAACAGCAGTGACTTTGCTCCTTGGACCCTGCACTTGGTAGGTGTTGGGCAGCACAGTAAGCACAGACTCGCCTTCTGCTGCAATTACCTTCGGTTTTTGTTAATAACTGGAAAAGTTGTCCTTAATATTATCCTTAAATTATCCCGACATCCTTAAGCACTCGCATTTTGTAAGCAATTAGTCAAGAGCAGGCAGGGTTTCGCTAAAGCCAGCAGGCTCTTCCCTCTGCCTTTCGGGACGCGGAGCCGATGGGAAATGCCCCTCCCTGGAAGCGCCACTCCCCGCTCACCCTCCCGGGATTAAACCCCCTCCTGGCGGAGAGAACAGCCCGGATCGGGAAGCAAAAGGGCGGTGCTGAAGGCAGAGTCAGGCAGGAGCTCTCACCCAGAGCAGCAAAGCCTTTGAGGGTCTCTGCTTTCCTCCCCTCTGCCCTCCCTGCCGACGGGCAGGTTCTCACGGCGGGCACCGTGCCCGCGGGTTTGCCTGCTGATGGAAGTGCCTGACCCGCTGCCAGGGCCTGTGGGTGGCTATTAAAGCTTGGAAGGCTCTGAAGTTTGCTTTTCAATTATCTTCCCCTCACGTGGCTCGGCTACATCCGCACCAGCTCTCCCAAAAACATCGTCTGCTTTTTTTAACCTCTGCGTGGACCAGGAGGCTGTTGCTGTCTCCTGCTGTGAAGGGTCTCTCGTGGATTTCACCCACTCTCCTTCCAAAGAGGATTGTTTTCTTTCTGACTGGGGGTTGTTGGTGCAGTTCCCCCCTTGCACACAGCCAGGACAGTCCCTGGAGCGTCGGAAAGGAGGCAAGAGAAACAACAGGGGAGGTTCTGCTGGCAGGAAAAACCCCTCGGAGGGCTGGAAGCTCACACTTAGAGAGGACAAACCAGGATAAATGTTGTACAGGAGGTGTGCAGCGTGTGAGTGTGCACAGGGTGGGCACAGCACCTGCTCTTCAGGTGAGGAGCAACTCCACTGAATTCTGAGCACAGCCCTCCCCTGAGCACCACGAGCAGCCACGTGTTACAGAGCACATCACCCAGCACCAAAAGGGGGGTTGAGAGAGGGAATTTTCTCACTCCTTCCCCCCTTTTGCCGTCAGTCCTTTCAGGTTAGCATCAGACAAGAAGGGAAAACGAAAATCAAGACAGAAGAGCCCAAAGAAAACAGCAGCAAAAAGTGAATGAAAGAGGAAATGAAAGGAAAATCTAATTAGAAACTAAAGAAAAAATTCTGATTAAAATCAAACAACCTGTTGCTGCTGCTGGCACATTAAGTTAGAGGTGAATCAAGGCTCTGTGGCTTAGATGTCTTAGAGAATTTGGGTTCTCTGGAGGACAAGTCCCCAGGAGGTGACAGTGAGGGTGCAGCAGGTCAGGGCAGCTCAGCCATTCCCAGCCCATCAGGGAGCTGCAGGAAGGAACAGCCTTCCCTAGCCAGGACAAGCTCCTTGGCCAAAGCAGCTTTGCTTTTACCTCTTTGTGCAGCACAGACCTCATTTGGCTCTGCTGCCCTTTACTGCAGAACTGCCTATTTTGGAGGTTGAGCCCCCCTGTCCCCCCCAAATCTTCCTCTGGTGCCTCCTGTGCCAGCTGGAGGAGCAGCCTCTCAGGCTCAGTCTCTCAACATCTCTTCCTATTTTTTATGCAATGCCATCATCTCTCTGGTGACTTTGCCTCCTTCAGGCTATGGACCCTCTTTTTCAGACACCTCCAAGCCCTCACTAAGGAGCAGAGAAACATCCAAGCAAGTCCTGCTTCCTTTCCAGAGCAGCCAGCAGAGCCTTACCTGGTCCTGGGAAGGCAGCTCAGCTCCCTCCTCCTCCTCCTCCTCCTCCTGCCCAGCCTCTCTGTGCCATTGTCCCACTCTGCACTGCCCAGGTGCCACCACCGAGCAGGAAGGTCTCTGGTCCTGCAGCCCCGACCTGTGCTGGGAAAGTTCCCTCTCTTCCCGGTGTCTCCCAGGATCACAGACTGAGCAGGCACAGCTCAGCCAGGGCAGGCAGCCTGTGCCCCTGCCTCCCTCTCCTCACCCCGGAGCTGCAAGCACCAACTTGCAAAATCTCCCTTGTGCATGTGACTTTTCCCCCTGGGCTGCTCTCAGAAATGTGGTTTTAACCCTCTGTGGTTCCTCAGAAGTGTTTCCACACTGAAGGCACAGCCGTGGGAGCAGATACCCGACCCCCCCAGGAATTATCCTCACCTCTGGCAGGGTGGGGGGCCAGAGCTGGAGCTGGACCCTGAAGCCTGTGCAGTATCACAGAAGACTCTCCTCCTCCTGCTCCTCCTTGATCAGCCAGGCAGAACTAACAAAGCACAAATCCCCCACTTGCATCAGATTAGTTGCTGTGGGAATATTAAAGCCAAACACCCCTGGCAGGGCTGGAGACACCAGAAGAGGCAAATGAAGATCTCAGGGCTGACAACAGGTCACTCACATTGGGCAAAAGGTCACGTTAAAGCCCAGAGGAACGGGGATAACACGCAGGGCAGGAACTGTAGCCCTCCTCAGAACAGGAGGCTGGGCTGACAGGGAGCAAGTTTCCTCTCCAGCAGCTCCAGGAGAAAAGTAGAAGGCTCGAGCACGTGGTCAGATGGACCCTCCAGAGCAGCTTCACGTGCTGGAGAAGTTGTTTCTTCCATGCAGAGAGACAGTGCTGAGAGAAAGCACAAAAAGGAGGCTCCTTGGCGTGGGAATCGTGGTTTCAGAGCTCACCAAAAGCTGGAGGATCCATGGAGGGTTGGAACAGAGCAAATCCAGCGTCTTGGGGAGCGTTAGTTTTAGTGAATGGATTTAAAAAGTAGAAAACAGCAGCTTCTTGCAGTGCCTCCGGACACTTCCTGGAGCAAAGGCCATCCTTCTCTTGGAGGGATGGGTTTCTGCAGCCCTGCCTGCCCCAGGCATTGCTGAGTGATGTGTTCATCGCACCACGTGGCTGCACAGGCCACAGGAATGACTCCAAAGCTGCTTACATGGGATCTTGGGACACTGGGAGCTGGGAACTGGCACAGCAACACAGTCCAGGTATTGAGAAAAATCAGATAAACCCTGCTGCTCTCACCAGCCCCAGTCCCCACCCACCACAGGGCCACGAAAAGCTTTGGGCTCTTTTGCAAACACTCCTCACCAAAAGCTTTGCCTTTTTTTCCTCCTTTCCTCACCCACGCAAAGATTCCGGCAGGGAAGGATAACCCAAAGAGCACTGTCAGCTCTGCACAGGAAAATGCCCCAGGCAAAACCCTGTGGGGGCAATAAATTTCAAAGCAACATCAATAATTACCTGATCTTGGCATGGGCACCTCAACACATCAGCACAAGCAGAAAACTCCTGCTCATTGGAAAGTTTGGGATCACCAGGCTCGCCGAGGCTTGAATCCCAGACTGGTTTGGGTGGGAAGGGACCTTAAAGCCCATCTCATTCCAACCCCCTGCCCTGGGCAGAGAACCTTCCACCCACACCAGGTTGCTCCAAGCTGACTTTACCAAATTATTTACTGGCTTTTGGGGGGGGTTAACCCCCATTTTTCCCCCAATTCCTGCAGTGCTGTGCAGCTGGTTCTGGATTGCTTGGAGCTTGATGTCACCTTCCTCAGGTTGGTGTCGTGCTCCCCTGCAGGGAGCCCCATGCTATTGGTCTCAGATTTCTCCCACCTATCAAGATCATTTGGAGTTGGGATTCAGTTCCTCTGTACTGTTTGTATCTCTTCCCAGACTTACATTGCACTCCCTGTTCCACATGCTGCATTAATGAATATATTACAGGGAACCTGATTCCAGGGAGAAAAGAAAACAAACCTGCTGTTTGAAGTGCCTTTCCAGACTTTTCCGACCCCTCCTGTCCTCAGGGGGGATAAACTCACCCCCCATCATGTCCTTAATATCATTTCTGAGGTCGCTCTTCGCTACCTACTGCAAGTCCTACCGCTTTAAATACAAGACATACACGGTTTAGTCTGGTTTTCCCTATCCTAAGACCACATTCCCTCCGTATTTAGTAGATGTTTTGATAAACTGGACTCTTTTTGCCGTGTTTGGAAGGCTGATAACACACCCCTCGCTGTGATCCCTGCTTTATTGGCCACGCTCTGCACACGGTTGCAGTTTCTCTCTCCATCAGCCTCGTTTGGACTGTGCTCACTGCAGCCAACACTGGCACATCTCATTTTCTTTTGATGAAACTGCATTTTCAGTGGATAGCTGTGCCATCTTTTTCCTACTTTTTTTTTTTTTCCTAGTGAGCCCTAATTAGGAAAACAAAGTTATTGAAAGCCTTGTCTTGCCCTTCCTGCACACAAAGTCCTTTCACAGACTCTGAGCTGTTGGTTGGTTGTTTTTTTTTTTTTCAAACAGCTCAGCAAAGCTGACAGATTGACAGTCATTAAATGTAAAAATTTATTTCACAATATCTCAAAATTACAAGTTTCAAATGAGAAATGACACTTGCTTAAGGCACGAAGTGTGGTTCTCATCTTTCTTTTTTTTACCTATTTCTGCCTCTTTCCTATGAAGACTTAAAGTATTCTTCTTTTTAGTATGGTAATGCAAAAACCTCTTTCTTGCATCTCAAATTAAGAGAGGGAAAGCTCACTATGGCCTTGGATAATGATTCAGCTATTGATCCAGAAGATGCTTTATTAGATTATTTTGAGGCAGACGAATGTAATTTAATACCAATTTATTTTCTATTCCTATGCCAGTCCCAGATACAATCTTTTCTGCATGAAATTAGCACTTTCTCCTTTCAACCTCAAAGAAAGATCATGCTTTGCTCCTTGCTTGGATTAGCTGGGGGAACTTTTTTCACCAAAACATTGATTTTGAGTGTTCCTGATAGTCGTTTCAATGCCTTGAAGTCAAAACCTCAGCTGGGATCAGCAGGTTCTAAGCTTGTCTCTCTTGTTATTAATGCAAGAACTAGTGATGTCTGATAAATGGGAGATT